TTTTACTTTCTGGTCGACATGTTTTTTTTTTTTTTCTTTTTTTTTTCTTTTCGGATGGTACGGTGAGTTGAGTGGGGTCTGGGATATCGAAATCGGGGATGGAATCGCTCGTCGACTGAGTACATACAGTACATACAGCACTATGGTATACGACCTGGTTGATTCGTCCCGGAACAACCTCTCGGAGAACCCGGCTCGGAAATTGCATGCTCGACTTTTGTATTGGACATAACGTCCTACTAGAGCAAACAAAACTTCTCAGGCGGCTGTCGACTGAATGACCCCATACATGGCACAGAAACACACGTGCTCTACCTGGCAATCCTACACCTACACTGAGCAGAGGAAAGCATGTATACAGAAAATAAATCATATGTTCTCGACTTGTTGGAATCGTAAAAACAAGTCATAGCTAAAACTAGTTCACTCTCATGATATACCTTTCTCATAACCGGCCAAAACAAAAACTATACACGTCCATGTACCTCGTCCTAGAATACAGAGACCTTAGACCAAGAATCTGAAGCCTCGGGAACTGGCCTGGCCAGGCACCTCCCCGCTGCTGATGCCTTCTCCGCGGTCGAGTTTCTTGTTCAACCGCACGAGAACGAAGCGGAGCGCCGTTGCGGCGAGAATGGCCAGGAAGGCTGTGGCGCAGTTGACGGACATTGCGGTGACTATATTCCTCATTAGGCTGTGCAAACGCAAGAAACGATGGGATTGCAAGAGACTTACCGTAACGCGGAGCATCGCTGTCCGGGTACATGTAGCTCGCGTAGATGCTACTGATGTTACTGATACAGTTGATGCCTGCCAGGGCTGCGGCACGCTTGGAGGCCGGACGAGGCAAGGTGCTCGAAATCCAGCCCAGGGCCACGACGTAGCTGGCGTAGAAGGAAGGGACCATGAGCATCATGGCCACGTAGCGCGGAGCGACGCTCGTGGTGGCGGCAGCGAGGATGAAGGCCGCCACGGAGATGTAGAGTGGTAGGGTGATGTGGAAGTAGCGCTCACCCGTCCGGTCGGCGTGCCAGGCGTTCGTGAAAGCGGTGATGACGGCCAGACAATAGGGAGGGGCGGTCAGACACAAGGTCTCGATGTTGCCGTAGTTGAGGGTCTTCACAACAGTGGGGAAGAAATTGGTGACCGAGGCAGAGGAAACAATTCCGAGAATGAGAAGCATCTAAATTCATGAGCGATGAAAAAGCAGAAGGACTATTTCGCTAGTGGGTTGACTTACCAACAGGTAGGTCTTAATGTCGGTGAAGGCCAGCTTGACACCATGCAAGAAGGTCTGCTGCTCGCTATCGACCCAATCGTCTTCGCCAATATCTTCCTCTAGACGCCAAGCAGCCAGCTGCTTCTCCTCCTCGGTGAGCCATGGAGTGGTACGTGGGAAATTGGGGAGGATGAAGACAGAGGTGAAGGCCACAACGATGGTGATGGCTCCCTCGATAATGAAAAGCCAGCGCCTAGCCAGAGTCAGACAGGGGTACATAAGCTCGCTTGAGTGTACCTACCATGACCGAAGTCCCATTTTGTGGTCCATTCCATTCGTGATGCCGGCAGCAATGAGACCGGAGAAGGCTCCCGACAGGAGAGAACCCGAGTACAGCGCGGCAGTACGGAATCCAAGTTCCTTGCGAGTATACCAGGCACTCAAAAAGTAGAGACATCCGGGCTAAAAGAGAGAGAGTCAGCAAATCCTTCATACTCTTGTGAGGGGCGGACGCATACAAAATAGGCTGCCTCCACGAAACCCAGGAAGAATCGAACGACAACCAGACCAGCATAACTTTGAGCGCCAGCGGTGCATGTCGAGATAATACCCCAGAGCAACATAGATCCCGGGAGGTAGAGGGCGGGTTTACCGATCTTGTTGAGCAGCAGATTGGACGGAACTGAGTCATCAGAACATGTCCATAAAGACGCAAAAAGAACCAAAAGAGGGGTACCTACTCTGCATCAACAAGTAACCCACAAACAGAATACTGACGCAGGTCTGATATTGCACTCCCACCAGGCCCAAGTCTTCCTCGAGACCGGCCAATTTGGCAGCCGCCTACTAGGTGATCAGCAACGAGAATCGAAAGAAGGGGGCCACGGGTCACATACAATATTGTTTCGGTCCAGGTAATTCAGGATATACATGATGATAAGCATCGGCAACAGACGCAGATCGATCTTGCGGACCAGAGCGCGTTCGGCTCTCTGACGCTCCTCGGGCGACAGGCTGGCGACATAGGCCGGGGCTTCTTTACGAGGATTGGGCTTGTCGGCGTTGGCTACTGCATTGGGGACGATTTCGACGTTGTCGACATGGCTCTTGTCGATGTCCCGTTCGGGATCGTAAGAGGTCCTGGGCGACATATTGCGTCTCCTAGTTCGAGGAACAGGGTCTATAGATTGACCTCCAGAAGCGATGAATGAATGACCCGGATACCAAAGAACAGTGTCACTCAGTGAAAGAGGAGAGGAAGGAGTATCAAGAAGAGAGAAAGGAAGAGAATAAGAAGGAGGAGGAGGAGGAGGAGGAAAGAAAAGGAAGGGGTTGAGAGAGCAGACAGAGCAGCCAAGTCGGGATCAGGAACCTTTTTGTGTGCAGGACATGGTGGGAGCCGAAGAAGCGGGCAGCAAAACCGGGATTTTTGGGGTCACCCCAGACTGATGGAATGGAGGGTCGGGGAAAAAAGAGGGTCTGGGGGACGGGCTGGAGACATGCCACACCGAATCGGGATCGATCCTGGGGGAAGACACTGGGCGTGGGGGTTACCGAAGAGATTCCGACAAAGGAGGAGAGTTCTGGCATTGCTCATGTCAAGGATAATGATGACGATGATGCAGCAGTGGTTCAAGGTTGGTTGTCCGTTGGTTGTATGGAGACGGGAAGATGAAAAGAGGCAAAGACGAAGCCGAAAGGGAAAAAGCGGAGAGAACGTGGGGGTGGCCGACCTTGCAACTGTTTGCATTCTTTCCTCCCGCTTGGAGAGGGAAAGTAGGCTCGGGTTACCTGATCTACTATTAATACTACTATACACAAGTGTGAATAAACCAATTCATACGCAGTGCTTCCAGAAACTAGGTACATATTCTACATCTTCAACAAATCAACTAACCAACATAAACACACCACATCCCCTTCCATCTCCCCTTATCTACCCCGCGCACCCAACCAGGCCGAAACAAAACTCGGGAGAGAAACTCGGCTTCCAACCCAATGCGACCATCAGCCCATGGTTGTATCTTGCGCCGGCGGGCTGGACCGTCCGTCCGTCCATCAATGAGAAAAAAAGGACCTGACGCGGGTGTCACCGGAGGCAAAATTTCTATTCCCCTTGGGAAGAAAGCTGACGAGAAACAATGGGATCGAATCAGACCGACTGATTGATTGACTGACAGTGGTGACCACGGGACCGATCCCGATCCACCTTGGTATCCCGACGCCTCCACTGCCATCACCATCACCACCGCGACCACCATCGTCGTCACCTCCACGCTCGGCAAATATCAAAGGCAATTAAGCGAGCGGACACTCGTCAAGGTGCGGATATGAGCGTGGTAGTGGCTGCGGATCCGAGAATTGCGGAGAGCGAGTCGGTGGGTGCAGTGGGAGCAGTGGGAACATTGGGAGAGAAAGCCGTAGGCGGCGGATGGGCCCCAGTCCAGTCCAGTGGAAGCGGGGGAAGAAAGATGCCGATTTTCGGGTTTTTCCCCAGAAGAAGGATGGATGCATTTGAAATTTGAAAGGAAAGCGTGGGGGTTGCTTTCATCTCCCCCCCCCCCCCCCC